TTGGAGGGTGTTAATTCATTGGTTAGTTGGTTATTTGGTGGGGTTGGTTGATTTTTACTAATTTATATTTGTTTTTTATATTTTTTATCAGTGTCGAGGTTAGTTGCGTTGGTTAAGTTGGTTATTTGGTGGGGTGGATAGCGTTGGTTAGTCTTTATAAAATTCCTATATTTCAATAAAGCCGTCAAGTGTGTCACATCAACGACGTCATACATATTAACGGCATTTTAGTAAGCTACCGTTTAACGGCAGTTTAAGTACAGCCTTTTATTAACGGTTTAAGACAACAAGACATATACCGTATGATCTTGGAAACGAACATCGATAACATTCCCCATATAATTTATTTGGTTAATAAATAAGTGAAACGAATACCAGTATTTCCAAGAACAATGCTTGCTGCGAATGTAATAGCAATTTTGTATGTTACAGTGTGCTTCAGAAACACGTTAAAAAATTTCATCCGAATCAGATAGAGGAAATAGCACCTTTAAAAACTAAAGTATATGCATTTACCTGCGAATTTTGTAATAAACATTTTAGTGCAAAGAAGAGTTTAGCATGGAATTTAAAATCACATGCACAAGTGGCACAAGGTAATTGACCAAATTATCAAAGAGTGAGGAAGAGTCAAGTATAAGCATTGTCATCCAGGTTATTTGTATGATGGTGCATATATTTTGACTGTGTCTTTCATTGTCCTCTTTAAGAATGGAAAATTTAATCTTAATATCCTTGATTGAGGGATAATAATAGAACTGTTTTAGGTGATGGTTCAAATGATACCAATATCCCTGTACAAAATATTAGAAAAAAATGTCCTATGTGTGATTTTGTTAGTAGGTTTATAAAGATGACTTTTATGGACATTTTAAACGGGATCACGATACCTATTAGTTTAGTAGTATTTATTCTATTGGACCGACACTAAAAGATCTCCAGTGTACGGATATACCACCTTTCACACAATGTAATAAAGAACCAAAAGAAGCTGACAACAAAAATATGATCCAACAAAGAAGATTTTTTAGCACAAAAAACGTCCAAGAAAAGCCTCCAGAAAGCTTATTAAACCGTCCGAAACAGAAAAAAAACAATATAGCTCTTAACTTATTACTATAAAATAAATTAAAATTAAAGAACACTCTGGGTCAACTTTCGTTTAGCTGAAGTCAGTTATTAGAAAAAAAAATTTGTCTTTAAAAAGCTACTGTGAACCACGGAAAACAAATTTTCCTGCGGAAATGCGTAATTTCCAAAATTCGTACTTTAGAATAACTGAAATCTGCTATAAAAAATACATTTCGCGTTTTATTTTTAATATTTTTCTGAACATATAAACACAAAAATTTTCCTGCGGAAATAAGCTGTTTTCATTTTCTAAGGAAATTTATTAGACTTTAGAATAGCTGAAATCAGTTATAGGGATAAAAAATAAATATATTTTTGCCTTTTAGAAGCATTCACGAATTGAGGAAAATAAAAATTTTCCTGCGGAAATAAACTGTATCCATTTTCTGAGGAAATTTAATAGACTTTAAAATAGCTGAAATCAGTTATATAAAAAATAAATATATTTTTGTCTTTAAAACTCAGGAAGCCTTTAAAACCCAGGAAAATAAAAAAATTCCTGCGGAAATGCTTGATTTTCATTGTCCATTATTGTAATCACTTTTGACCCAAAAAAAATCATTTAAAAGTGTCTAAAATGCTAACCAATCTAATAATAAATCTAATATTTTTACAAAATCACAGTTAATTATTAAAATATAAAAACGACAGCTTAACACCCTCCACAAATAAAAGCTAACCAAAGCAACCCAAATCCTAACCAAACTAATAATATTTTTGCAAAATCACAGTTAATTATTAAAATATAAAAACCACAGCTTAACCCTCCACAAAGAAAAGCTAACCAAAGTAACCCAAATGCTAACCAATCTAATATTTTTGCAAAATCACAGTTAATTATTAAAATATAAAAGAAAACTGCATAATTCAATGATTTTTTGTTTTGAATCAGCCCTATTTACGTAAAGCTTTAATAAAAAAACAAGAATAAGTGCAACATTCCGAGGTACTTATAGTTTACAAGAACCTATATTATCTATTCTACAAGAATTGTTTTCCTCCGAAAGATGTTTTACCCCACCCAGCACCCCTATTCGCTCCCGGGTCCCGTAATCTCCTAAACTGAAAAATGAATGAAAAACAAAGTGCACAAAATGACATTGACACATTTCCGCAGGAATTTTTTTGTATTTCTTTGCTCGTAAAGGCTCGTATAAAACAAATATAAGTTCATTTTTCATGTAACTGATTTCGGCTATTATAAAGTCAAAGCATTTTTTATGTAAAATAAAAATAAAAAATTTCCGCAGACACTTTTTTGTTTTTTTTATGTTTAGAAAAATGTAATGTAACAAGAACAAAAAAACATGAAACTCAACTTTCAATAACTAAAAATTCTAAATAATTTACGTATCTACTTATTTTCAGACAAAGATACCTAAATAAATAGAATATGTCAATATTTTTTGCATTTTGTCAAACATAATACATACCTATAACAGCGCCCTGGTTTAGATAAACAGTTAATAAACTAATTTATAGCATTTGAGATCAATATAAACAATACTCAATATCAATATCTACTACCTAAAACTAATTTTTTACTTGTAAAAGAGAAATAATACCTTAACCTTGGTATTAAAATACTTAGTCACTTAGTGAACAATCTTATTCTTTTCTATACTTTATTATGTGTATACTTACTAAGGATTCCGCTATTCATCTTGAAAATATAACAAACAAAATCTATTACTACTAATATTTCTCTTTCAGATTAATAACAGCCAGAAACACATAACAATCGCTATTTAACTATTTGGTGAACTGAATCAGAGATAATTACTGACCTTAACACTGAATATTGAACATAAAACATAACCTCAGAGATAACCTATTTAAAGTAAACAACCAGAGTAAACCATAAAATAATAAATACAAGAAGAAGTGTCAAGTCAATGTTAAATTATGGAAACAGCGTGGCTGCCTGGGTAACTAATTTTTAGATATGGCGGCTGGGACATTTGACATGACATAGACACTTCATTGACATGACAATTTCAATTTTATGAAATTTATTTCCGTTTCCGGTTTTTAATGGCGGGCTGTTCAGGAGGTTTAAATGAGGGTTAATATACTTTTTACTTTTTCTAGTAGTAAATAATACAACAAAATTACTCTCAAAATATTTATTTGGAATTTAGAACAATGTAAATATGCAAATCAACACAATTAAAGAGCTATAAACCCATAAACTACTGTATCAATATCAAAATATTTAAATAACATCAGAGATGCTGTATTAAAGTGAAATAGTAAAGTAACAATGCACTGACTTACAGAAACTTGAAGATAAATAAATGTTTTCACAGCTTCACGGGCGTAAAACTAACTGGAAGCAAGAAAAAGACAACAGGAACCCACGCAAAACCTGGAATCAAAAAAAAATATGTAAAAAACATAAATATAGAATTACATAAGACTGTTGTGAATTAAATCAAACAGGACTTGAATGAAAATAAAATGAATAAAAAATATGATACATATACATCTAATACCTCATTTGTATTTTAAAAATAATCTACATACATAGCATTATTGCTATGAAAATACATAATAGGTACCTATGTGATATGTAATTACGCATTTCTGTTCATCTTGTAGATAATTAATGTAAGCTAATAATAGTTCAATAATCATAATTTACCTTGTGCAACTTGCTTTCAATTGCTCAAAATCACCGATCAGTCTTTAAAGTAGAGATACGGAAAAATCCTTGGTAAAAGAATATCCCAAGATCCTTGGATCTAAAGCTAAAAAATATAAAAACAGTTAATATATTACCAATTTTTACATATAATATGGCCCATACCTACTACACGCAGAAACGTCGATTTCATCATTTTCTTCATGTAATTAATACCATATATACTTTATTAAAGTGTTAACAAGGAACTTTATCAAAAAACATCTTTGTACTTATAAATTTCAGCCGAAATATCATAAACAAACTTCAATCAAATTTAAAACGGCAAAAAATTAAAATGGCGCCCGACCTTGCCAGAGGCCTCGGGAGTTGACACATGGCTGACACACAGACAAAAGAAGAGGACGCCGACGTGCATAAAAATGTTCCGTAACTGAAATTGACAGAAATCATATAGAAATATTCAGATTTTTGTCTAGGACAGTCTAGAAGGCCATGCTTTCTGCCTGGGTAAGACCGCGCCAGAACTGTTTCCAATTTTCCGGTTTACTGTCACCCCCCTGGAGTAAACAACCATAAACCTTGAAATTAGGGATGTGCCAATATTTATTATCGATAATTTTAAGATGAGACCAAGGATGAGACTCTACATTAATAATCTTTCATTATATTATGATTTAAAGAAATTATGCAAGTACTACATAGTTACTAGATAATATAAATGGCGCAGTAAATAAAAATATACTTATACATATAGTTTTCTAACTATAAAGCCGGAGTCTCATGCATCCGAAATCCGATGACACGACGATCCGACGGTGCTCCTATTGGTCGAAATATTTTGACAACAATTTTTATCCGATAATTTTAACTAATCATCCGACGTCGTATAAAGTTAAATTTTGTTTAACTTTTGTACGATATCGTGTGTTTCACTTTTTTTGAAAACATTTGTTTTTAAAAACAAGTTTAGTGCGAAGTGGGCCATTTCGGGATATTTGGCGAGGAAGTTATTTTTATAAGTGTTTCTCCAATAAAACATGACATGAATCTCTATTCAGCGCAGCAGAAAAATGTTAAAACTGTCAAATTTCGGAACGAACTTTCGGATGTATGTGACAGGCTTTTTTTATTTCACACGATAACTTCAAATTTCGGATGTCGTACCATCGGATTTCGGATGCATGAGACTCCGGCTTAAAGCATGACTGAAATCTGAAAATACCTGTGTTTTTTCTCAAAGCCATAAAATCAGAGACTTCGAAACTTTTATTCTCATAGACCATTTCCAAAATTTACTGGTTTCGGTGGACTTCAGTGAATTCCCAAAACTCGTCAAAAAATGTAAAGATTAAATTAAGCTGGACTCAGACGACACAGTTACATTTGTTATTATAATTACTAAATTATATGTCGAGAAACTATGTTTGCACTCGTTGAATTTGACACTTAATGTCAGTCAGTCAGTCAGTTTAATAATATATATTCGTCATTGGCGTAACTACAGGAAGGCCTGGGTCCACCCCCAGGTACTGCTGGGTATCCCCAGAGAAATCTTGAAATTTGACTGAATTACACCTCTTAGTTAAATATTAATTTTTATTTGCTTGTGATGACTCAGTTAAAATGACTTTCTAGTTTTGTGCGTTATTTTTTTTAGAAAAATTGTAGGTATTTTTAGGTAATCCATTGGGTAATCCACTGGCAAACACGGTTTTATAACGTTGTTAATCGTATGAGTCCAAACTTTTCCTCACCCCCTCTTCCTCTTCCTCTGTTAGAAGAACACAAAAAATACGCTTTCGTCCGTACTTGAACTCATTGCTTTAAAAACTAAACTACAGTAAGTAAAAAACACTTCGACTATAACTAAATAGCGTTGCCGCGTTTCAAAAGCGCGCTATAGTGGATGCTGGGAAGAGATTTTTTTCCGGCTGCGAAGGGACTGCGCCCACTATAGCGCGCTTTTGAAACCTTTAAGGTTGTCGCCCACTAGACCGCTGCGCGGCGCGGTGCTGGGAAGAGAATTTTTTCCGGCTGCGAAGGGACTGCACCCACTATAGCGCGCTTTTGAAACGCGGCAACGCTATTTAGTTATAGTCGAAGTGTTTTTTACTTACTGTAGTTTTGTTTTTAAAGCAATGAGTTCAATACGGACGAAACATTTTTGTGCTCTTCTAACAGAGGAAGAGAACTGAGGGTGAGGAAAGTTTAGACTCATGATAACAAAAAAAGAAAGAAGTTTGGAGAATTTTACCATCTTTTTCCAGATTTAATAAAAGACATAATCATTTTTTTCATTTAAAAAAAAGAAACTTTTTACGCACTCCTCAATTGAGGGTTTTAGAAGAAAAAACACCGGGTATATCTACTCACCATATTTTTTCAGAAGAGACAAATTACTAATATTTTTGATAATTCTTATTTATTCTGATGTGTATATTAGTTATGTGGTCAAAAAAACCCTGATCTTTTTTATATATTTAGGTAATTAGAATTTAAAAATTGGAGATTGTCACTTTTGTTAAAAGTGGAGATTGCCAGTTTTGCCTCTACACCCCTCAATTATATTAAATCTTTGATAGAAAGGCATTTCGTCCATCTGTCTCTAGTGAGGGAAGACTAAAAAAATATCATATTCCTTTATGAAAATCGATTTGCTTAATTTACCTTTAAAAATACAATTCTGCCATTGATACATATCACTAGTTCCTAGTCAAAAAGCCAACTGAAAAGACTCGAATGCAAAATTATCTCCCTTGTGAGTACGCACACTGCAACGCGCCGAAACGCGGGAGACTGAAAAAAGTTGCTAGAGAAGACTTCCGACTTCTTGACGGAAATTCCGCGGCGCGCTTCGACGCTGCGCGCTCTAATGTGCGTTGCTCCATTTAAATACATGGCAAGCAGACAAAAGAATTTCCCACATGGCGCCGCGCCGCGTCGCGCCTCGGTCTAGTGGGCGACAACCTTTAAGGTTGTCGCCCACCATTGCTGCGCAACGCGGCGCTGGAAAGAATTTTTCCGGCTGCGAAGGAACTGCGCCCACTATAGCGCGCTTTTGAAACGCGGCAACGCTATTTATTAGTTATAGTCGAAGTGTTTTTTACTTACTGTAGTTTAGTTTTTAAAGCAATGAGTTCAAGTACGGACGAAAGCGTATTTTTTGTGCTCTTCTAACAGTGGAAGAGGAAGACGGGGTGAGGAAAAGTTTGGACTCATACGAATAACAAAAAAAAAAGAAGTTTGGAGAATTTTACCATCTTTTTCCAGATTTAATAAAAGACAAGATCATTTTTTTCAGTATTACAAAATATAAAGGAAACATTTTACGCACTCCTCAATTGAGGGTTTTAGAAGCAAAACACCGAGCATCTCTACTCATCATATTTTTTCAGAAGAGACAAATTACTAATACTTTTGATAATTCTTATTTATTCTGATGTGTATATTAGTTATGTGGTGAAAAACCCTGATCTTTTTATATATTTAGGTAATTAGAATTTAAAAATTGGAGATTGTCACTTTTGTTAAAAAGTGGAGATTGCCGGTTTTGCCTCTACACCCCTCAATTATATTAAATCTTTGATAGAACGGCATTTCGTCCATCTGTCTCTAGTGAGGGAAGACTTAAAAAAATATCATATTCCTTTATGAAAATCGATTTGCCTAAATTACCTTTAAAAATACAATTCTACCGTTGATACGTATCACTAGTTCCTAGTCAAAAAGCCAACTGAAAAGACTCGAATGCAAAATTATTTCCTATGTGAGTACGCACACTGCAACGCGCCAAAACGCGGGAGACGGAAAAAAGTTGCTAGAGAAGACTTCCGACTTCTTGACGGAATCCCGCGGCGCGCTTCTGCGCTGCGCGCTCTGATGTGCGTTGCTCCATTTAAATACATGGCAAGCAGACAAAAGAAATTTCCACATGGCGCCGCGCCGCGTCGCGCTGCGGTCTAGTGGGCGACAACCTTTAAGGTTGTCGCCCACTAGACCGCTGCGCGGCGCGGCGCTGGGAATAGAATTTTTTCCGGCTGCGAAGGAACTGCGCCCACTATAGCGCGCTTTTGAAACGCGGCAACGCTATTTATTAGTTATAGTCGAAGTGTTTTTTACTTACTGTAGTTTAGTTTTTAAAGCAATGAGTTCAAGTACGGACGAAAGCGTATTTTTGTGCTCTTCTAACAGTGGAAGAGGAAGACGGGGTGAGAAAAGTTTGGACTCATACGAATAACAAAAAAAAAGTTTGGAGAATTTTACCATCTTTTCCAGATTTAATAAAAGACAAGATCATTTTTTCAGTATTACAAAATATAAAGGAAACATTTTACGCACTCCTCAATTGAGGGTTTTAGAAGCAAAACACCGAGCATCTCTACTCATCATATTTTTCAGAAGAGACAAATTACTAATACTTTTGATAATTCTTATTTATTCTGATGTGTATATTAGTTATGTGGTGAAAAAACCTGATCTTTTTATATATTTAGGTAATTAGAATTTAAAAATTGGAGATTGTCACTTTTGTTAAAAGTGGAGATTGCCGGTTTTGCCTCTACACCCTCAATTATATTAAATCTTTGATAGAACGGCATTTCGTCCATCTGTCTCTAGTGAGGGAAGACTTAAAAATATCATATTCCTTTATGAAAATCGATTTGCCTAAATTACCTTTAAAAATACAATTCTACCGTTGATACGTATCACTAGTTCCTAGTCAAAAAGCCAACTGAAAAGACTCGAATGCAAAATTATTTCCCTATGTGAGTACGCACTGCAACGCGCCAAAACGCGGGAGACGGAAAAAGTTGCTAGAAGACTTCCGACTTCTTGACGGAATCCCGCGGCGCGCTTCTGCGCTGCGCGCTCTGATGTGCGTTGCTCCATTTAAATACATGGCAAGCAGACAAAAGAAATTTCCACATGGCGCCGCGCCGCGTCGCGCTGCGGTCTAGTGGGCGACAACCTTAATATAGGAGAGGCCAGTGCAATTATCCGTTTGGCTCAAGACAGGGAGGAAATCCAATTGATGGTCGCCAACCTCCGATGAGGAGAAGGCACATGAAGAAGAAGGTTCTCAAAATTTTAGCAAAAAATAATTTTTTTTTGGAAATTTTCAAAGTAAAATAACTCCATTATTTTGGACTTATTTGAAAAACGATAAAGAGAAAATATGTTTCTTTTATCGAGATCTACCACCCTTTAAAATACTTGCACTTATTTCTGGGATACCCTGTTTATAACAATACACTTGATGCGTATACTCAAAGTTGCGAATGATGTCAAGAATAGGTACCCAGATTGGCGCTGACTACCAGTAAGCGGCAAACCTGCTTGCACTGTGTTCGCACACTAAGACTGAGTTCACACGGCACGGGTCCGCAACAATATATTTTATATATACCATTTATGTATTATTATATATAAATATATATATATATATATATGTATATATATATATATATATATATATATATATATATATATATATATATATATATATATATATATATATATATATATATATATATATATATATATATATATATATACTATATATATATATATATATACAGGGTTGTTCACCACATACGACACGGAGTACTGTAGCTAAATGATTAGATTTTTACAAATTGTAAGTTTTGAGTTCGTTAAAGGACTATTAGAGCTACAATTTAAAAATATTTTTACAAGATACAGAGTGTGCTAAATATGTAAAAAATATTATAGTTGTATTTTTTTGGTTCGGTTTGGTTTGAGGAACACCCTGTATATTATTACATTTTTAGATTCTACGAATGAAATAAAGGTAAATTTGATTAAGGTTTACCACACTTAAACCTTACCGTTTTTGAAATATTTTCAATTTTGGGAAATTGCAGTAAAAAATTTAAGGCTTTATTTCTCCAAGGGTATCAAAGTTTTTAATACTACATATTTACTGAAGATTATTTATTGATCAGATATTGTGTTGCGATAATAAAAATTATACTTTCTTATACAGAGTGTCCAAAAATTTATGTTAAATAATGATTAGCTTTAAACGGCGGTAACTTGTTAAATTTAAATGGAACACCCTCTATATTTTACTTAATTCATATGCACTATTTAATTGTCTATCAAATTATATTATACCGTTGTTTACCTATCTCTTCAAGTTTTCGTAGAAAATGCCTTTTCTTATAATTTAGACCTCATTTATCACTATACTTATGGAATATTGACATTTTAGATTATTTTTAAAGATGTAACAAATTTTCAAAGAGTACAGATACTAATATTGTCGATATAGTTCGATTATTTCATTAAAAAATTAAAAAAAAATGTTTAAATATTATTTGTTAAAAAGGATCAATTAATATGATCCTAGTATTCAGACTACATTAATTGATTCTTTACGTTGATGAATCAATACTAAAATATATATATATATATATATATATATATATATATATATATATATATATATATATATATATATATATATATATATATATATATATATATATATATATTGATAGAGAAATGAATCAATACTAAAATATATATATATATATATATATATATATATATATATATATATATATATATATATATATATATATATATATATATATATATATATATATATATATATATATATATATATATATATATATATATATATTGATAGAGAAATGCATGTAAACGTTTTAGTCAAAAAATGTGTATTTTAAAATTATTTTTCATTTTTTAAAAAACAAAAGTTCTAGGCCCTCCCTGGGCTCAACACCAGCCCCCTCCCCCATGATGAATTGCTAGTTACGCTAATGATTTAAACATTTTCCATAGTGAAATTTCCGTATGAAGTGTAGTGAGATTGAATATTTATATTGAATCTCCTTATTACACTTCATACGAAAATAATAATAAATATTTAACCCGAAATTCCAGGCAAAATTTGAAACTTTGATAGAAAAAAACAATTCTGTTTTTATTACTGCTATTGTAAAAAAGGTAATGTTAAATTGTAGTGAACTGTTAAATTCTAAAAGGTGTTTTGCCCATTTAATCGGGTCTTTTCTATTATAAACTCTCGGTCAGAAAATTACATTTCCGAATTTGCTATTATTTTGTGGGAGATACAAAAATTAAAATTATTTATGTGTCTAATTAATTGTGATATTTTTTTGTGTATAATATTCTAAAAAACTAATTCCCTGGTTATTTTTAACGTCGGTGGTAAGTGTTTGTTATATTTTGAATTTTTTATTTTAATAGTTTGGGGTTATTTTATAGGTAGGTATAAAAAAAATATACAGGGTTGTTCACCACATACGACACGGAGTATTGTAGCTAAACGATGAGATTTTTACAAATTGTAAGTTTTGGGTTCGATGAAGGACTATTAGAGGTACAATTTAAAAATAATTTTACAAGATACAGAGTGTCCCAAATAAGTAAAAAATATCGAAGTTGTATTTTTTTAAATGGAACACCCTGTATATTATTACATTTTTAGTTTCTACGATTAAAATAAAGGTAAATTTGATTAAGGTTTATTATACTTAAATCTTACCGTTTTTGAAATATTTTCAATTTTGTGAAATTGCAGTAAAAATTTTAAGGCTTCATTTCTCCAAGGGTATCAAAGTTTTTAATACTAAATATTTACTGAAGTTTACTTACTGATCAGTTATTGTGTTGCAATAATAAAAATAATACTACCTTATACAGAGAGTCTAAAAATTTATTTTAAATAATTATTAGCTTCAAACGGCAATAACTTTACACCCTGTATATTTTACGATAATCAGATGCACAATTTAATTGTCTATCAAATTATATTATACCATTTTTTACCTATCTCTTTAAGTTTCCGTAGAAAATGCATTTTCTTGTAATTTAGAACTTATTTATCAATATACCCATGGACTATTGACATTTCAGATTATTTTTAAAGATGTACCAAATTTTTAAAGAGTACAGATACTAATATTGTCGATATAATTCGTTTATTTCATTAAAAATAAAAAAAACTGTTTAAATATTTGTTAAAGAGGATCAATTAATATGATTCCAGCTGTGATTCCAGTATTCAAACTACATTAACTGACTGTTTGCGTTGATTAATAATAATTGCTCCAAATACTAAAAAACTGGATTTTGTATGGGCATTAGACAGTGTGATAAAAAGTAACACCTTAAAAATGATATTTCATTTTTTAATAAATGCTTATTTATAACAACAGAGACTTTAATTTGATAAGTTATTATTATATTGATTTCTGACTCAAATCCACATTTATTTATAATAATTTATTAACGAACACAATTAAGTATGTAATTAATTAGTATATGGGCGGAAATAATGGTGTTATATTTAATTAATGGTATACTCTTTTATAAAGATTTAAATAGTTTTCTTTTTGCATACAAATGGGCTAGTAATATTATCGTTTTGCTAAAAACGATAATATTACTGGTCTGTACATTTGTTGCTTTAAAAACAATCTAAAATGTCAATATTCCGTGGATATATTGATAAATGAGGTCTAAATTATAAGAAAATGCATTTTCTACGAAAACTTGGAGGGATAGGTAAAAAATGGTACGAAGGGATAGGTAAAAAACTTGCGAATTTTGTTTAAGTGCAAACCTAAAGTATGTACTAGGATGTATTTCAGGAAAATATTTTAACTTATATAGGGTGACTCAAAGAAGTGTGAGTCGATCGGGATGATTTATTTTAAATGGAACACCCTGTATATTATTGCATTTTTTGCTTCCTTTTAGATCACTTTACATGCTTCCTTTACATTTGCTTCCTTTTAGATCACTAAGACATGAGTAAATATTTTTCGATAATTTCAGAGATATTAATAAATAAATAAAAATTATATATTTTTCAGCCTTTCTTAAAAAAATTATTAATAATACAAAAACTGTCCTGAAATCAAAACTATATTAGGTATTTACTTTAGATGGTCTGGTACTTCGTAAACCATAAAGAATGTCCAAAATTCTACGCCAAACTTTCTAAAGAATAAAATAATTTTTCTTTTTTTTTAAACGGAACACCCTGTATATTATGTTTTCAATAGACGGAGAACCAAAAAATGAGAATTTTTGTATTTAGAGTATTTCAAAATTTTTAACGGTTTTGCAGATATTCCCGGTTTTATATTTCATATGACATTTTCCACAGTACGATTTTTATCAAATTGTTCTCTCGTATTTTATCATTGAACTGAAAGCGCCATTTGAAATAATACTGCGTGTATCTGTAAAACTATTAAAAATTTTGAAATACTTTAAATACAAACATGTTCATTTTTTAACTCTCCATCTAATAAAAAAATAATATACAGGGTGTTCCATTTAAAAAACCAAGAAAAAATATTTTATATTTTAGAAAGTTTGGCGTAGAATTTCGTTAACATCCTGTATTATTTATATAGAAAATAAAATATTTTGCGTTGATTTTGAGGGATTTCATCTGAAAAATTATTAATTTGAAAGAAAACCGACAACAAGCGGCAGAAATATTAATAATAGTAATAATATTTTAGGGCAGTCTACTGGTCGCAACGACCAGCCAACGGCCAGGTGCGTTGTATCATTTGATTTAATGGTGTTAGATGTAGCAGCGGCTTGGCCGGTGCGACCTGGCCGTCAGTGTCTTCAAGCTCTAAAACACTTAGAGCATAGTATAAGGAAACTAGTAGATTTACTACTTGTCAAATCCTTTGTTCTTTTTCTGCCACTTTATATGACCTTGTTCTCGCCTCCTGTGGCCACTGACGTAGCTGTATAGTCGTGGACTATTAACTAGGCAGAGTATAGTCGTGGCACTCGCCATAGTTTCACAGATTCGTATTTAGGAAAATATGAGTTCACAATAAAATAAAATAACAAAAATAATCATCGAGTAAAAACTTGCTTGAAAACAGAATATTTTCACATTTCGTGTAGGTAACAATTCTTCTGTATCTGAAAATCTTCTGATGGAAAGAAATGCGGAAAAAATATATAATGACATATTTTTATATTATTATCTATTTCAGAGATTTTCTACAACTTTTTTTTAATTTAAAACAAGTTTAATTTTCTGTAAATAACTGGATTCGGCATAAATTTCTGCTATAGTACACTGTTTTAATTTAAAGCACACTGCGGTGTTGCCATTCTATTTCTTATTTACTAAAAAACTTTGGTTAAAAACATTATATATGAAAAGTGGTAAAAAACTAGAGTGAATATAACTTTAACATTAATACTTAGCTATATTTTCTAAAACATGAAGGATACCAGAATAAATTCGTGTAGAAAAAATTACTTTATCGTATACAGGGTATTTTTTATGGCGTCACCAAAATCGTAATATTTAAAATGTTGCATCTCATTTTTTTTAAATGCAACACCTTGTATATTATTTTTCTTTCAGATGTAGAATTAAAAGGTGAACATTTTTTGTGTTCTATTAGATTTTGTGTTCTGTTAAAGTGTTCTTAAATTTTTAGCCGTTTTGCAAATATTTTCTGTATTTCATTACATATGGGATTTTCAACGATAAAATATCAGACAAAGATCATATTAGATGGCTTTGATAAAAATTTGCTGTTGAAAGAGCCATATGTAATATAATACTGCGAATATCTGCGAAACCGTTAAAAATTTAGAAACACTTTAGAAAAAAAAAATGTTCAATTTTTTTTATTAACACTTGGCTATAATAAAGCCAAGTGTTAATAAAGTTATATTCACTCTAGTTTTTTACAACTTTTCGGTTATAATGTTTTCAACCAAAGTTTTAGTAAATGTCATAGAATGGCAACACTGTAGAATGGTTCAAATAAAAATAGTGTACCTACTATATGCAGAATTTTATGCCGAATCCGATTATCTACAGAAAAATGGGGGTGGGGGTGCATATGGTTAGGCAGTTTAAAAAAATAAAACTAACTTTACCAGAACTTTTTTTGTGACACCCTGTATATAACAAAATATTTTAGGATACGCCCCTTTATAAACCTTGAAACATATGAATAAAACTTTTTTCACATCTTCGACAACGACGACGATATTGGACTTCCTCGCACTAATGGACCACCCTGTATATTTACGGTGGTTTAAAGCTAGGTGTGGCACTTTTCATCCCTCAAATATCAACTCAATATTTTGTCTATAATATTTTGAATATTGTTCTATTACGACCACTTATAATAAAAAATAAAAATAAAAAATACAGTCCACTAAATTTATAAGAGATTATGCTATTATAAAATGCTTTCAATTAAAAAATATGAATAATTTGCCGAGACTTTAGATGTACAAAATATTTACTCTAAAATTGTTTCAAAAACCAATCTATATAAATTATCTCATAAATTATTATTGGAATGAAAATTTTATGGCAAATCCCCTGACAAAAAAATATTTTCATGCGCATATTTGAGACAACCTGTATATCTAAAAAACTATTTTTAAAATCTGTCCACATGCTAAAAAAAATATTAACATTTAATTAATTACATAATACCTCAGCTAAATATAATTAAATGTTTATTGATAATTACTATCAGCTTATCGATTTACATCCGATGGAAATCTAAAAAAAATCAAAGAACAATTTTTTGAATTATTACTACAATTAATAGCAGCACACAGTAAGGCATTCATTTTTTGTCAATCCGTCTCTGTGCTGGGACACAAAGCTCGAACCTCGCAGCTCGACGGACGGAATTCAACTGAAACGCTTTGCAATCTGCCGATATTCCACAGATTGCAAAAACTGGCAGAAAATATTTGCGAGAGTGCAACTACTCTTTTCCTTAAACTATGCTAAGAGCTCAAACGCACTGACGGCCAGGTCGCAGCGGCCAGCCAACGACCACCAATCAAATGATACAACGCGCACTAGCGTCCTGGCCGTTGGCTGGTCGTTGCGACCTGGTCGTCAGTGCGTTTAAGCTCTTAGACCTAACACAATGAAGTGTTATATTTTATAGTTTTAACCAAAACACACAAAAAAGTATTTTTTTCAGAAGTATAAAAATGAGTTGAGAATATTATTTACTGAATAATCCAAATACGAGCAGAAAAGTACAGGGTGGGTCAAATTCGACGCTTTTAAATGGAAACACCCTTTTCTATAGGAGATAGACAAAAACTAATATCGGTGTCTGGAGCACAATTTTTGTCAAAAACATGATGGTGAAAACCGCACATCAATATCTGTTACCGTTTCGGAGTTACGGGGTGTTTTTCAAAAATGTGCATTTTTAACAAATCACTGTAACTTTTTTGCTATGGAAAATTTTGTATTTTTGTGAAAACATTTCCAAAGCACCTTTTTACGTAGAATTTAATGGTTTAAGTATAATTTTTTTAAAATTAATAATTTAAGAATTATCAACAGAAAATTTGATTTTTTATATGGGACACCCTGTATATTTTTAATTTATTGAAAATAATTTAAAATTACCTTTCCAAAAATATAACACACTTGATATTTTGCTCGATTCCTTTTCGAGATATAGAGTATATAAAAATTCGCCTGCTTTAAATAAGTAGGCTTTGAACGGCACCGGCTGTGTTTTTAGATAAAAAAATGTTCAATTTGCTATTAAATTATTCTTGAAATTGGCTGCAAAAATTTGCTAGCAGAGGCGGTGCGTCGTCTTGCTGGAAAAATGTATTTTCAAGTTCCATTAAGGGCAGATCATCAATAAGGGGTCTAAAGCCTACTAGTTAAAAGTGACGAACTTTTAATAATTCTGTATTTCGAAGGGGATTATAACAAAATATCAACTGTGCTATATTTTTGGAAAGGTAATTTTAAATTCTTCTCAATTAATAAAAAATATAGAGGGTGTACCAAATAAAAAATCAATTTTTCTGTTCATAACTCTTAAATTATTAATTCTAAAAAAATTATACTTAAACCATTAAATTCTACGTAAAAAGATGCTTTGGAAATGTTTTCATAGAAATACAAAATTTTCCATAGCAAAAAAGTTACAGTGATTTGTTAAAAATGCACATTTTTGAAAAACACCCCGTAACTCCGAAACGGTAACAGATATTGATGTCCGATTTTCACCTTCATGTTTTTGATGAAAATTGAGCTCCAGACACCGATATTAGTTTTCGTCTATCTCCTATAGAAAAGGGTGTTTCCATTTAAAAGCGTCGAATTTGACCCACCCTGTACAGTGTTTTTTTAATACGACCCTATTCTATCAATAGTTTATTTTCTGTGAATTTTTATTGATACGTTTTAATCCGGCTCTGACTTGGACACCCGAATGGCGTCGTCAAGGTCAAATTTTATAGAAATTTTAAAAATAGAATCTAGGTAGAGTTAGGGTACCTACGTAACTACGTAGTGAGACATCTCGATGCGATGCCCGCCGCGATGCATCCTACGCGCACTTACTCGCCGTTTTAATACAGTGCTTAAAACGTGTGCGAGATGCCCCGCTATGTTTGTACCCTTAGCATGCCAATTGTTTATATATGCCGTGCTTTTATGTTGCCTTACTAAGTTAGTTAATTTGTTTTGGTTACTTAATATAATTCAAATTTATTTTCCAACTCTTTGTTTTTGATATTTATAGAATAAAATATAAAGCTATAATATGTTTTCTTTTGTAGATCTAAAATGGAAGAATCGCTCGTTTCTGCGGATCTATTGGATAAACTCCGTTGCCATTTGTGCAATCTATATCTATCAGTATTTCCTATTTATATAAACGATAAAGGAAACGAGTTTATTTGTGGTCGATGCAACGTACAACATGAAGATAAATATATTCGAGATGGGAGTTACGAAGATATAGCACAATATATTATTTTTCCGTGCGCTCATTCTGTCAATGGTTGCAAACAACAAATGTGCCCTCAAAAATTAGCTCTCCACGAACTTTGTTGCGCATTTAGAAAGCTTGACTGTCCAAATCGTAGTTATTCAGATTGTGTATGGAAGGGTTCCATCAATAAGCTAAGAGACCACTTCGAAAACTCCCATAGAGCGCTTTTTATCAACGATGGCAAATTTGAGATAAATTTTAATAACAGTTTAAGGGAATATCTTCTGTTCTTCACTGAAAATGAATTATTTCTTGTTAAAAAAGAAATAGATTCTATAAATGGTATATTTAGTTGTTCCGTCAAACATGTTATACAAATTGAAGATTCCAAAAAATATAATTATTCTTTGAGAATTGAAACTGCAAATCAATTTTTCAATTTTCACGAATGTTCAAAGCGAACTGTGTCAATTGCCAATGAAGAGAAAATTTCATTTTCCAATGAGTTTATAAATGAACAACTGAGTTATCCTGAAACTATCATTATCAATGTGATCATTGATGAAATGGAAATTCAAAAAAGTCAAATCGCTAACATACCTAAAATCGAAGATTCTAATACGAATTTGGCAATTTTCAATGAACTGGAATGTCCTATTTGTTACGAGTACATGTTACCTCCTATTTTTCAATGCCTTAGTGGTCATAGCATCTGTAATATATGTAAACCTAAGATTGTCTTTTGCAGTATTTGCAAGGGAAATATAAAATATACTCGAAATTTTACATTGGAAAATTTGGTAACTCAGTTATCTTATCCCTGTAAATACTCTAAAGTTGGTTGTCCCATAGCTTTAAAAGCCGGAAGTATTGAGCAACATCAAGACTTATGTGAATTTGGTTCGTATGAGTGTCCACTTGCCAAAATGGAAAACTGTATTAAAAAGCTTAATAAAAATGAAATCAACAGACACATCGAAACTGAGCATGAATCGTATTTGTTAAAATTCAATAAAGTGAATGTAACTCTTAATATGCTCAATGATGGCAGATACAGGGAATATTACATAATAAAGTTTGATAAAAAGCTATTCAAGGTATAGTACGATACACAAGTACGGAGAACGGGTAAAGCGATTCAGCGTGTAAAGAGTCTTTTGCGACTAGAAACAAAATAACAGGATTATAAAAGAGTGGCCCGACCAAAAGCTTAGAGCTTCTTAATATATAAAAAATACGCTTTAATCGCTTTACTCGCTTTCTGTGTGAACGTGGGCTTATGTCACTTTATGTATTTTATTCTAAAATAAATTTCTGATGCAAAACTCGACCGGTATATCTCTTTCAAACTAAGAGACGTAAAAATATTGATAAAAACATAATTAAATGCAAATACATATTTAAAATTTCAGAACCGTTAAATTATAAATAATCGATATACAGGGCGATTCACGACCATGGTACTTTAGTCGTTTACGAAGAACCAGTAACAGTCACTTGCTCCATCTTTATATATTATTTTCAGCATTACAGTGTTGTCGCTTCATACTAAAATTGGAAGCATCTTTGCTTTGTTATTTTAAATGGAATACCCGGTATATACAAACGTATGTAGAAAAATATAAGCTATTTTAAGAACTTGCATGTATACTACTGAAATGAAAATAATATATCTAAGCACAATAAAATCTATTACAGTTGTAGTAAAATAAGTAGAATTAGAATTTAGAATGAGTGGGAGGGGGGTTAATCACTTCGACCTTACAGATCCATTGTGTCCCCCTTTCTTGAATCATAAATCATCATACAGTCACAGGGCTTTGACAAAAGCCAGTATCTGGGACGGTTTTATAGAGGGTAGTTCTCCATCTCCAATATCAGTCGTACCAAAATTCATGGCACGAATGGTTGTCGTCTCGGCGCACTCAGTGATGAGGTGTACTGGTGTTTCCCCATCTTCCCCACAGAATCTGCATTCGCCGTTTCTTCTTAGTTTCAATCTACTGAGGTGTTCATTGAGGAGACAGTGTCCTGTTAAAACCCCGTGACAATCCGAAGATTGTTCTTACTCAGACCCAGGAAGATCTGTGATTTTTCTTGATCATAAGCCCTCAGAAACTTCTTCGAGTGTCTTAGATCATTGCAAGATTTCCATTCCAGGTTGCGGATGGAATCTTCCAAGTTCTTGAGTTCCGCCTTGAGTTGGTTACCACTTGGAAAGCAGAACGGTTCTGGTCCAGTTAGTGGAGTGTTCGCTCCTTTCCTAGCTAGATTATTTGCTTTTCATTGCCTTCTATCCCTTGGTGAGCAGGCACCCAGTGTAGGAGGACTTTGTTTTCTTTGCCTAATTTATTCAGCTTCTCTATGCATTCTTTGACCAATTTCGAATTGATTGATACTGAGTTGATCGCCTTTAACGCTGCTTGACTATCAGATAAGATGGCTATTTCTTGTTTCCGATAGTTCCTATCTAAGATAAGTTGTACGCATCTCTCGATAGCGTAGATTTCTGCCTGTAGGATACTAGGGTAAGTGCTCATTGGTTCGGAGTAATTAGCTCTCGGCCCAAAAACTCCGATCCCTGTTCCCGTATTGGTTTTGGAAGCATCAGTATACCAAGTTATGGTATGGTTTTTTAACTGCTGGGCAAGCGTTTCGCTCTAGTAAAATGAGTAATTAATAGTGAAAAACTAAGTTGCAACCCTAGATGCAATGTTTTTCGCAAATGCCTACTTGTGCGGTTTGAAATTTTGATGCAAAGGTATAGTCACTTACTAGCGAAAAGTTATTCCATTATTTCCCTCGATTTTTGACCGAGATCTACCGCACGCTACACAACCAACTATTTTACAGTCTTTTTCGATAAATCGCAATAATAGTGTCACTGTTAATTTAAAGTTCTGCCACAAAATGCCCTTCTAGATTTACTACCTTTAAACTTGACTATCACTAGTAGAATAAATAATAAATAACATAAAATAACCTCAGTAAAGAGTGACAAAATTTCAAATCAAATTCAAATATGTCAAATGAATCGTCAAACAGAACTGTCAAGGATCCACACTCTAGAGTCATCTTTCCGTCGACCATACATGAATACATGGATAGCATTGTGTGTAGAATGTACAATGTAGAATGAATAAGAGGGGGGGGGGGTTAATCACTGCGACCTTAAAGATCTATTGTGTGCCCCCCTTCCTTGAGTCATCACACAGTCTATAACCGATCATACCCCTGTTATAGAGGGGACAGGGTATTTCCCATCCTCCTCTGATAACAGTTCTTCCTCCGAGGGTACACACCCTTCCCCGGTTGGAGTTTGGACCTCCGTGCCGCTCTTCACAGTCGAGGAGCTTGCCTCCGGCTGAGGAACCCGTGAGGTGGAGACTGGAGGATCTGTCTCCATTTTCTCCACCTCTTTAACTTGGTCTCTCTTTGGACCTGATACCGATGTTGTCCCGTATCTATAATAGAGGATATGTCCCTCTTTCTCTATTGCCTCCTTGGATTTAAGGTCAATTCCTATTGTGAGGATCTGACCATGATCCTCCTCCCTCAAGTTGATGACGCGCCAACTCGATGTCCTTACATTGAAGTTCTGACCCTGGATAAGGTTCAGCAGGTAGGTGGTGTCTTTTCCCTTGCTCCCCGGCAGAAAGACCGTGATGGCCGCCCCTTTAGATATGTTTTCTCCCTTCACTGCAACCAGTTCCGGCCCTTGCCAATTTTTAAGCTTAGGTGCGATTTCCACCAACCAATTTGCCGATTCTTGAGATACACAATCTATGAGGATCATGCCCACCCGAAAATGTATCCCCGCAAAACGCAGCTGACCCACATTTTGTAGATCGTTGTGTGGCGATCCGATCGCCACTACTTCGTCCAGTATAGCCTCTTCTAGAGACGTTTGCTGGTCGTTGGTCAGAGCAACCTCTGGGAAATCCTTTGGCAGCACCGGCATTTTTACTTGTCAAGCAATAGCGGCAAAGCTGGTGATACGTCCCTGCTTGCCTCCCGGTGTTGGACGGCTTTCCATCCTGGCTTTTTTCTCTCCCTGCCGGAGAAGAGGTCAGAGGTTCTCGTTCCCTCTCTTGCCCTTTGATGAAGATGAGTCAGGTTGTTTCTTGGTTTCTTTACTCTCCCCTTTTCGGAGGAGTGTTTTCGCTTTTGCTTCCTTTGGAGCAAGTCCTTCGTGGAGCAGTCGGAGGTATCTCCGTGTTTCTGCTCCGCTAATACCTAATTTCAGAGGATCGTCTAGCCCGCCTGGTTGCCCCAGGCCGGGTAGACGAAACGGTAACTTGTGTCGTTTATTGGGTCTAGAGATAGGCTCCCGGCCCTTGCTGAAGAAGGTGGTAGCTTGTGTGCCACTTGTGGAGGATGATCCCAAGCAAGTGTCAGCCGCCCCTCTTGTTTCCTTTAGATTTGGTCCCTTGGAACTTTGTCGCTAGGGGGCGTCCGCGCAGCTTCACCGGTGGTGTTTTTAATGCTAGATGTCATAGTGTTCCCACGAGTCGCTAGGGATAGTCGGTCCACTTCTACAGAGCCCCGCATGTAGAAGTAAGGGGTATATACAATGGGGTGCCCTGATGCCCCAAGGTTGAGGCCAGTAATGGCTAGTCCTATATCGCGCATCCCTTTGACCTCGTCCCGCCATAGTAGGATTTAGGATTTTGGTGAGGTTGTCTCCTCTTGGTCGAGGCGGTTAAGCCAAGACCCCCCACATCCTCTACCCGCGAGACATAACCACAGTCAGTAGAGGGTGCCTGGTATGACGGAGAGGGGTAGCCGCGTCCGGCATCGTTATATGTCTTGGTGCAATTCCCTGGCCACGACACTACAGCCAGGGACAAGACGATGAGTAAGATGCTTGTTAGACCAGGCCAGGCGCTAGGGGGATTCCCCCCAGCACCTGACCAGGAGCTTCCTAGGGAAAGTGGATAGCATTATACTCCTTCCTTAATCTCTTTATTCAAAGAGGGTACCATTTAAAAAGCAAAAGTTGTAGCAATTACCGCTTTCGCTGAAACAGGAAGTAACCGAAAATAATTGAATACGTCAATCGGCCCTGATTTATGTCATATAGGTACTAACAAACCAAACATCGTTTTTGTTAATGAGAAATTAAAAAAGTTATAGGGGTGAGCCACTTTTGATAAACACGCAGTATAAACTCTCAATTTGTAAATTATAGCTGACTTCGTAAAGTGTTTTGGTCTGTTGTGATACGGTTTCACAGTTGCTACTTTTTTATGAAACTAAAGATGTTAAACACATACCGATTTGATGGCGCTGTTAAAAATTTATGATAAAAATATATGAAAAAAAGACTAAAATCTTTTCTAAAAAGACTAAATCTTTTAAAATATTTCAAACTTTTGTAAAATTAACTTAAGTCATTAAAAAATATTTAAATCATTTTTTTTTAATGACTTAAATCTTTTCTAAAAAGACTTAAATCTTTATCTATTTCGGAAAATGACTTAAATTTTAAGTCTTAAGTCAGCTTTCGAAATATGACTTAAAATCAAATGATTTAAGTCAAAAAAAGACTTAAGTTTTCTGTGAGCTTGCAGCTCTGATTAGGTAGAACACAAAAAAAATATATAAAAAGAACAATATTATTAGTCGTAAAAACAACTAGCCTACAGGCGTTTTTTCGGTAATCGTACCGAACCGAACGGCAATCGTACGATAACGTTTTATACCATACCCTCATATTTTTGAGCCAAGATGAGTTAGGCGCATATTTCAAAGTGGTTTTGGGGTTCTAAAATGAGTTAATAAACTAAATATGCCGACACAATGAAAATGAATTTCAATTATATGTATTTTATATTTATTACCTCTGAAAAGTATACTACTTGCTTGAAATGCTCCTGAAGCTTTGATTTATAAACTAGTATCGTTCATTGAAGAAATAAGAAGATGCGCAACCTTATGGGCGATTTCGTGGCACAAAACATGTCCGAGATGTAGCTGGCGTTAACGTCAGTCTCTCCGAGATTTAATTTAGCTCTGCGCCGCTGCACGCTGATAGTCGTTTACAGCGTAACGGCTAAAGCCTAGTTCATGCACTTGCGATAACGATTTACGTTTATTATAGTTCTATTTGCGTTCTGATTGGTCGCCTTCAAGGGAGACCTTGAAAGCGACCAATTACAAGGCAAACATAACGCATTTCGCAATTCGTAAATCGCAATTCGCAAGTGCATGAACTAGGCTTAAAGAATACTGTACCGTAGTTCTGCTTTCAGTCGACAGAATGAGTGGTTGATGGAAACAGTGCTGCCAGCTGCCAGAACTACGGATTAATCGTAGATTTAAGGATTTTTGGTATAGTATGTTAATAATACGGATTTTCTATCATTAAACAATTTAATAAAACATTATATGATTAAACAAAGAACGGCGTCACAGTTGGCTTGGAAATGAAGACCAATGTTATTTCATATGTAAAAATTATGGTAAATGTCAATATCGTTTCCAAGCCAACTAAACGACTTTTTTTGATCATACGAAATACTCAGTACCTATAAAAGAAATTTAATTTTTGTTGTTTATTCTATGTTTAATACGAATAAATTTTCAATACATAAACACGGCTTTGCATCCTAAGATATTTTCGTCAAATGTATTACAGATATTAGACAGTTTAATATGGCAACACTGTCACTTTCAGTTCCACACTGTGTTCGATATGCCTTCGCTGGCCGAATTAGAGAAAATATGATGTGTTTTATGTGTTGGCCGCAGAACGATTGGTGGCTCCACAGTACAGCACTTGAGAAGTAAGGGGAAATTAAATCAGCCTTATCACGAATTCGCCCATTAGTTTGTGTATCTTCCCAATTCTTTCAATCAACGCTACTATATTATGTGTAAATAAATAGGTAGTAAGAGGTTAGCCACTAGCTACCACACTATATTACAAATTTCAAAGCATTTTTAATTGGTACATATTAATTTACCTACTTATTTTTAGCTTTGTTTCGCATATTTTGATTTTACATTTTTTTGGGCCATACAATTAATTTACCCATCAGAAGATTATATAAAATATCAACTTGAAATAGATATTATAGATAATTCTGGAAATAACCTGCGGGCATATGCAAGACGGCCATGTATGCCATACACCAAAACTGAAAATTTCTTTGAAGTGAAAGGCACCTATATTATGTTTTTATATGAGCAAATTAACGATTTTCTGACAGATAAGACATTATCATACCAAGCTAGAGTTGTTAATGGCACTATGATGTAATTTATAATTTTAAACTTTCATTAGTTTATTATGAATTATATTATACAGATTTTCACATTTGATTGTTTTGTATGTTAAGTTTGATGTAAAATACATTTATATATTATGTTAAAAATTCACTATACATAAAATAGTAGGTAGATAAAAATAAAAAATATAGCTATTTATTTATGCCTTTAATTTGTAATACATGGTTAACAATGGCGGCTCGTGGTCATTATTGTAGGGAGATCAATATCTAAAAATATTGCGTCGACTTTTTTTAAGACGCGCCCTCGAACTCTCCCACATTTAATAGGTTTCTTACAAGGTATTTGTACGTTTAGTTAAAGGAATATAAATCTAAAAATAAATATAAATTCTGTTAAAATGAAACCTACCCTTACATTTTTAAACAGGTGGTCTAGTGTCATATCACTAAAAATCCAGTCAATGTTCTTTACACAAATTTTCCACTAAACTAAAAAATTGACTAAACCAAACATTATACGCGATAAACGATACAAAAACCTAGGTTGTTTTATAATTTGAGTTTTTATAAACACCCAAACTGCCCAAACGGGGAAATTTTTTCCAAAGATTGGAATCCTTTTATGAATGACGCGGTCAATGGCCAATAGAAACTATATCTATCGTACCCGTTATATTTTCTCTACGTATACGTAGTATACCTTACCTTGTTGGCGTTACGGGCCGCAGCATTTGGAATTTAATATGTACAAAACAGCGAGAACGAAGGACAAAACGAAATTTTGACCGGCAGTAGAGAAAATGGGTAAAATAAAACGTTTTGAAGCGAAAATTGGACAAATTGATGGTTTTTGGGAATAGTTTAGAATATCTTAGGATGAAAAAAAGTTATTTACAAAAAGTATAATTTAAATAGGTTTTTCCTAATTTTCTTCCTCGTTTTCTTCTGATTTTTTTGGAGGGCATTGACCATTTGACCTTATGGTTAAGCAGGTCGGTCAAGTTTGCCCCCCGTACTAGAGGAAAATTAAAAAGAGATATACCACTATTTTGCACACATTTTGCACAATTTTGCACACCATAAATGATATTTTGCACACTTACCTAAGAGAAACTAGAGCCGTTTTTTAAACGGGGGGCAAATTTGACCGTCCTCTCCCATTTGTTACGAAATAGATTTATTTCTATGTACATCGATTCGGCTAATATTGCACAATTTTGCACACCTATTTTTAAATTTTGCACACCCTCCTGACGAAAGTTATAAGGGGTTGAAAATTTGAAATTTCCCCCCCCCCCATCTATGACTAAATTGAATTTTGTTTATATCAAACGAATGGGCTAATTTTGCACAATTTTGCACACCTTTTTTTGAATTTTTGACATTCTCCTGACTAAAGTTATGCGGGTTTGAAAATTTGCAATTTTCCCCCCCCCATCTGCTACGAAATTGAATTTCGTTTATATCAAACGAATCGGCTAATTTTGCACACCTATTTTAGAATTTTGCACACCTTCCTGACGAAAGTTATGAGGTTTTGAAAGTTTGCAATTTCCCCCCCATCTGCTACGAAATTGACTTTTGTTTATATCAAACGAATCGGCTAAGGGTTTGAATATTTGAAATTTGTCCCATTGTGTGTGAATTGTCTCATTTAAAAAACATATAAGTATGAGTCCTATTTGAAAATGACAGATATCAGCGACGCGACGTGGAAAACTGTACGAAACCCAGACTTCACCTTTTCGATAAGTTATAGGATAACCGAGATATAAGGGTTGTCGAAAAATGCAAAATTTTCAAATTTGCCAGGTATTTCAGGAAGTAAGAGGGCTAGGACAAATCTGTGTGTAGAATCTTTAGATTCATAAATGTTCTTCTATGCAAGCTATAAATTATCGAAAAGGTGAAATCTATCATTTTCGAAATATGACTCATACTTATGTATTTTTAAGTGGGACATTTCACACACAATGGGACAAATTTCAAATATTCAAACTCTTATAACTTTTGTCAGGAGAGTGTGCAAAATTCGAAAATAGCTGTGCAAAATTGTGCAAAATTAGCCGATTCGTTTGATATACACAAAATTCAATTTCGTGACAGATGGGGGGGGGGGGGAATTGCAAATTTTCAAACCTTCATAACTTTAATCAGGATGGTGTGCAAAATTCAAAAACAAGTGTGCAAAATTGTGCAAAATTAGCCGATTCGTCTGATATACACAAAATTCAATTTCGTGACAGATGGGGGGAAATTGCAAATTTTCAAACCTTCATAACTTTAATCATGATGGTGTGCAAAATTCAAAAACAGGTGTGCAAAATTGTGCAAAATTAGCCGATTCGTTTGATATAAACAAAACTCAATTTAGTCACAGATGGGGGGAATTTCAAATTTTCAACCGCTTATAACTTTCGTCAGAAGGGTGTGCAAAATTCAAAAACAGATGTGCAAAATTGTGCAAAATTAGCCGATTCGTTTGATATACACAAAATTCAATTTCGTGGCAGATGGGGGGGAAATTGCAAATTTTCAAACCTTCATAACTTTAATCAGGATGGTGTGCAAAATTCAAAAACAGATGTGCAAAATTGTGCAAAATTAGCCGATTCGTTTGATATAAACAAAATTCAATTTAGTCACAGATGGGGGGGAAATTTCAAATTTTCAACCGCTTATAACTTTCGTCAAGAGTGTGCAAAATTCAAAAACAGGTGTGCAAAATTGTGCAAAATTAGCCGAATCGATGTACATGGAATAAATCAATTTCTTAACAAGTGGGGGGGAACGGTCAAGTTTGCCCCCCGTTTAAAAAACGGCCCTGCTTTCTCTTAGGTAAGTGTGCAAAATATCATTTATGGTGTGCAAAATTGTGCAAAATGTGTGCAAAATAGTGGTATATTTATTTTTGAATTTCCTCTAATACGGGGGGCAAACTTGACTGACCTTGGTTAAGCCGCCACTGATGGTTAAGCCATAAACGAGTATACGGTAAATCTTGTTTAGTTGGCCTTAAGAAGGTTGTAATTTATTTTTATAGTGAGTAAAAATGATTTTTAAATGGTGTAATTTAAAATTTGAGAATAAATAACGTTCTGGAAATAGATTTGTCTGTCTAGAAACGTTCTATCTTTTTATAATTAGTGTTAATCTTGACAAATCTTGTTTCATATCATTTTTTAGTAAATGATACCTAGAGATCGATCTCGTCAAAATTATCATTCATTGTCATTCCCCAGCCGTCTTTGACGCCGATTTTTTTCGATTACACGGATTATCATGTTATATTTTTATATCCATTTGCATTATTAATTAAAAAATGTAAGATTTTTTTTCAAATTTAATCAAGTTCATTTATTATGTGATGTGATTATGTGATGTGATTATGTGTATGTTATGTGATTCATTTATTTATTTAATATAGACCATTCAACAGCAAGAGCCAATTACTGAATGGATCGTACTCATAGACATAAAATAAAATATTTTATTTTAAGTCTATGGTCGCACTGCATCAATTACAAATTAGAAATGAACAAATTCAGAGATCACAAAATAATTAATTATAATAAAAACTACAAAACAAAACATATTATACTATTATACAAAAGTAAATACAAACTGATAGACCAGATCAACATAACAAAATTGACAAAAAAATATTGATAAGAAATTAATAAAAAAAGATAAAAAATCGTTAAAAAATGATAAAAAAATGTGATGAATTAATGTGAACTTTAAGTTACCTGTTTTTTTCTTCGCTTGCGTTTGTGTTTGTGTTCGTGTTAAATTAAAATGTGTTACGTGTTCGTAATAAAACACATTTTTTATCTTATTAGTCTTAGATTTTAGTCTTAAAAACCATGCCTTGCTTGCTAATTCACGAACTGTACCATCATTGAATAAAAATGAGGTAGTACCGAAAGTACCGAAAAAAAAACACCGGAAATCCCAGTTCCTTAAAGGGCGTCCGTCGTACCGAAAACCCTAGTTCCGAAAAACAGTTCCGGTTCCGGGAACCCTAATCAGTGACCATTATTGATCCTTTTTTTGGATTACGTTAATAAATAATAATTTCAATTATACACTCGAACCTCGACTCGAACATTCATAAAAATTAAATGTTCTTTTTAATTGAATTGTTCTAAATTTACTGAATATATTGGAGACATTTCCATCCTAATTTGATTTTTCAATTTATTCATATACGAATTACTTATGGAAATGGGAAAATCGTGTAATAGCTTCATTTAAATTTTCAAACGTGTGAAGAGACGCCGATTTAAGGGATAAACGACAGCGTCCTAAATTTGCATAAATCACAACGTTGACATACAAGAGAGAGTTTTGTAACAGTGACAAATTTATTACATAACAGTAAAAGACCCATTTACTGTTGAGATGTATATACGGAAGACTGCATATATAAAATATATAAAAAGTGCAGTATAGGCTAAACAAATAGCTAATAATAAAGTGATACAAAAAATTTAATACTAAATGTTTAAAAAAAATTAAATTAAAAAAGCTCAATTATTGATTTTAAAAATACCTTTTAGCGATGTTTATTTTAATAATAAAGTAAATTAGTCTATCAAATTTCATTTTAAACTTAATGTGCATATAACCTTTACAAGTTATAAAAAAATTAATATATAAAAATATATCTAGCCAAAGCAATTGGATTTTTAAAAGATGCAATAAAAATAGACTAGGATTATTTCATATCAAAATGGAATAAGATAATTATCTTATACCTATGTGGAGTACCACACATGTGCCAAAAATCTTAAATTTAAGTGTAAAACCACTTGACATATTCATAACTTTTTATATTTATAACATTTTCTCAAACATCAGAGGTTACCATTTCTGTTATGTTTGGAAAAATGTTATAAATATAAAAAGTTATGAATACACCAAGTGGTCTTACACTTAAATTGATTTTTGGTAGAAAAAAAGTGGAGTTAATCGAATTCTGCAGTAAACGGTTCATATGATTATCTTTATTTTATTATAATATATATTTTTTAAATGTATTCACCCAGTAAGAATAAATACGCATCGTATTTTAACAAGGTTTGTCAAACTCAATATTTTTGTTATAACAATATAGTTAAGGAAGTAAAAATCAAGTCAGTATCAAAATCAAAGTAGAAAAGTATGAAAATCAATGCTCTTGCATTTTCTGT